CTTTCTAAAAGCTCCTCTAGCATTTAAAATTCTCTAAGTATCTGCTTACTGTTCTCTCATCTCAGTAAATAACTATTTTCTTATGTTCAGAAGCTTGTGATTTTTAATCTCTTTATTATACATCTTGACACATAATACCAACATTCAATATACTTTTTCTTAAATAAATGCATTAATGAGGTTTATGGATTAAAATACTCAAACTAAACCAAATAAAAAAGTAGAATGCATTGCCATGCTATGAACCCAGTTTCATCAGATTCTCACATATACAACCTACTCTTATTTAACAACAAAAAGGTGTATGGATTTTTACACTATGGTATCTGAAATTAGATGACTCTTAATTTATTGGCAATTTAAGATTATCTTATGAATGTGTATTCAGACACTTACATCATATATTTAAAGTGGAAGATACCTAAGTGTATGTTCGTGTCTCTTGGTGTCCTCCTGGGTTGCATGCAGTTAATATGGCTGGAATCCTTATGCCATGATTGATTTTTCTCCAATAATAAATTAAACTCCTCAGTAGTACTATTTCAGCATTATGTTACAATCAGTTATAGCTACTATTATGGTTGTTTGCAGATGAATGGCCCCACTTCTGTTCATCTAGCTTTTAACTGTGCTTGTTTCCATATTTCTAGTCTATAGTCCACTGAAGAGCAACAGGTAAGCAAATTAACTTTCCTGTAGTTATTGTCATACCTTTTTCCATCATATACATTATACACAACAAGCATATCGATATAAACTTTCTCAAATTCTCACTCAAAATCACTCTCCAACATAGCTATTGGGATAACACATAGTTCTTTATGTAAAAAAACTGATATCCTTCAATAAGATATGGTTTATATTTTTATCCTAGTTCTCTATGGGATATCTTACTTTTCATGCAAGGCCTCCACCATTATCAGATCTTTTTCTCTTTCACAAATTAGCCCAAACTAAAATGATCATTTTCTTACATTGGTGCTTAGATACTAACTTCATTTTGTGTGTCTGCGATTGCTCACTCTTCCAACACAAATGTAGAGACTTCATCAACTGTACCTCCATAGCTCTGCACTGTACAGAACTGCCTCTCACTCTTTATAAATCTACAGCTCCTGCTTTTGATAGAAAAAGAATAACGTCTAAGTTGAATTCTACCATAGCAAGTCCTCACTTTTCAAAAGTAATTGATTCTAAGTAACTTCCTAGGTTTATGCTTTCAGACGCGCCTCTGGCTATAGCACCATGAGGTTTTTCTTTTTAACAGTTTCATTTCCAGTAGGCCTGCACAACAGAGAAAGGCTTTGGGTATCAAAGTGTTGATAGAGGTTTGAGTCTAGTTCAGTATAGGTCACAAGGATAAATGGAGAGTAACCCGAGATGAGCTTAGCACTAATTAGTGACAGGAGAAGCTGGATAATGTTACTTCTTCTGTACTGAATGTCTGTTTTGTTCAGTCGACTACATTAGGTGGACTTGCTCTTTAATTCCCACAGTTAACATTATGAAACAAATAGCACTTCCATTTCACAAACGAGGTTTAGCAAGGTTAAGCAATTTGTTCATGAACCAAAAGCCTGCAACTGACAGGTATGATCAGCCTCATCCCATCCCTGTAAGTAGACATTTCAGCTGAATTTCTGTGACTAGTTTTCTTAAATCTCTCTTCAGTCTATTTACCATCCACTTAACATCTTGCCCACTATGTGCAAGGCACTGTTCTAAGAGCTTTAAAATATTCAAAGTATTTACTCATAACAGCCCTCTAAGTGATACATTATTAACTGCATTTTTAAAGAACAGGAAAGTAGGACCAGAGATATTTAGCGAATTGCCCAAGATCATGCAGCTTTAAAATACTTTTTTTGATTACACAGACACACAAAACTAAATTTAGTGTTTGGTTAAATGTTATGCTATTGTAATAAAGTCATTGCATTTTTCAAAATTTAGTTTTGTTTTAAAATAGATTTATTTTTAGCAGTAGACATTTTTGTTTCAAGCCTAGTTATTATTTGTCCATGCCTGAAAGATGTTTACCTTTTAATCCGTGGTCACTCTAACTGCCACTATCACTGTTTCCTTTTGGCAGCTACTAGACTCTTAGGCTGAGAAACTTGGGATTAATAACAGTTTCTCGGAGATGTACATTAGAGATCCAATATATTTCATTGATGACACATGCCCTACTTCCTCAATATCCTTCACTCTAGCCAAGGCTGTCTGTGACTGGAAGAAAGAAATACTTTGCAGCAGCTCTAGAACTGCAGGCTGCTGACAAGGACCATTAACTAATTTAGATTTAAGTGTCTGTGGAATTGCTGGCTAGAACTACTACAGCAATGCCATGGGATAATAAAGGTTTACTTCTAGCAGAGAGTCTCCAGAGCTGCCTGGGTCTCGTATTTCTTCTTACTGAAGTTAATGCACTGGAAACTGTGAGTGTGTGTGCGTGTGTTTGTGTTTGTTTATAAAACACATGATGTGGTTTGAATAAAATGTAGATTTTATAGTATGCAATTAGGTGAATAATTTATTACATGTATGGCATTAAAGAGATCAGGAAGAATGTGTTATTATTGGTTATGTGAGTCCTCTATAATGTTATTTGGTGTGATGTTCTTCACATGGCTTGCTCTGACAGTTTTTATGTCTCGTCATTGCATGCTGATGGCAGTGTGCAAATAGGTTTGCCACACAGGAATTACCTGTCCCACAAGTTCATTTTCAATGGCATTCTAAAGATCAACCATCCTTGCAGGAGTTAAGAAAGATTTATAGAATCATTGCAATGCAAATCCTTAGAAAGAAAGACATAAAAAAACTGACAGTATTGTATAGGAGAGAATATAAAAAATTTACTATTTTTAGTGTTTCATATTTTAAAAAGTGAAACTGCTATATAATAAAAATTTAAAAATTAAATTTTCATAAAATCAAATTTTAATGCTTTTCTCCCCACATGTTAAACAACAGCTTCTGATCAATCTTTGTAAGGAGTCTATGCTAGAACTTATAAATAACTAACATTTGTTTTAATGGTGAAATCACCAACAGATTCCTCAATATACAAGGCAGTGATTTACATTTCAAATTATCTGAATATAGATTACAAAAGAAAAACCTAGAAATTCTCCATTTCTGATATCCACATTTATTTGGTCATAGAGAAGTACAAATATTGCTGAAAGAAATACTACAATCTCATAATATTTTGGCTAAATATATATACACACATATACTTGGGAACATGTACACGTATATACATATATATTGTACAAATTTTTAAATGCTTAGTTTTGTTCATATAAGGCAAATCTCATATGGTGTTTTAAAAATAGCTAGACTATTTCCAGAAAAATTAATTTTAAGTGGACATAAAGGAGAAAGCCTCTCAAAAATCCTTGCCTGATTTGTTTATCTTGGGACAAGTGGGCTGATTTTGTATTTTCTATTACTTTGTGGCTGCCCATGGCATTTGTCTCTATATTATTTTACATGCCACAAGTATAAAGCAGTATTTACTATTAAATTCCTACTATTTTATTTATGCAAATTTATGGGGTAAGAAATGTTTTACATATCTGATGCTCAGTGATCAAATCAGGGATCCAAGTACAATACATTTTTTTAAAGTATAGTCATCCTACTCTGCCATCAAACATTGAATTTATTTCTTCTCTCTACTGCATGTTTTTACCCTTTAATCCAGCAGTTCCCAATCTTTTTAACACCAGGGACAAGTTTGCAGAAGACCATTTTTCCATGGATGGAGGTTGGGGGTCATGGTTTCATGGATGGAGGTTGGGGGTCACATTATATATATTGTGTGCTTAATTTATATTATCATTACATTGTAATATGCAATGAAGTAATTATACAACTCACCATAATGTAGACTCAGTGGGGACCCTGAACTTGTTTTCCTGCAACTACATGGTCGCATCTGGGTATGATGGGAGACAGTGACAGATCATCAGTCATTAGGTTCTCATAAGGAGCATGAAACCTAGATTTCTTGCATGCACAGTTCACAATAGGGTTTGCAATCCTATGAGAATCTAATGCAGCTGCCGCTCTGACAAGAGGTGGAGCTCAGGCAGCAATGTGAGTGATGAAGAGTTGCTGTAAATACAGATGAGGCTTTGCTCACTTGTCCGCCACTCATTTCCTGCTGCACAGCCTGGTTCCTAACAGGCCACAGATGGGTAGTTGACTGTGGCCCCAGGGTTGAGGATCCCGGCTTTAACTCACTTCTCTGTATCCTTTTCCCTCCCCCTATTCTCCCTTCTCAGTATCTATTATCTATTTTTCTTCTACCATTACCATGTGTTAAAATGTTTTAGCTCCTACATCTAAGTGAGATCATGTGGCAGTTGTCTTTTTGTGCCTGATCTAAAGATCAGGGAAAGAAAGAAAATCTGGTAAAAGAAATAATCTAATTCCATTTTAAAAGGCCTCAAAATAGAAATACTGAGCAGCAAAATATAAATGATTAAAGTCAATTTAGGATACAAGATTACTAGCTTAAACATTTGTAAGAGTTTGTTGAGTTTTTGAGGACAGTGGTTTGTTAAAGCAAACTAAATATGGCCTGAGAAGGACTCTGTACTTCTACATTTGAGTTCTTGTGGATGAACTGTAACCTAGCTTAATAGTCAGACAAAATTAAAAACCTAACTTAATAGTATGCATCTGTAACAATGCCTGAATGTCAGCCAATCCCACCAGCCATACTTCAACCACTCATAGGCTGTTGAATGCTCAAACTGCGTTCAAGTAGGCAAATGCCTAGCATAACCAATCTCACTGTTTCTGTACCTCACTTCCAATTCCTGTACTTTACTTTACCTTTTTTGTCTGTAAGTTTGTTCTGACCACGAGGCACTCTTGGTCTCTGTGAATCTACTGTGATTCTGGGGACTGCCCGGTTTGCAAATTGTTCATTGCTCAATTAAACTCCTTTCATTTTAATTCAACTGAAATTTTTCTTTTATCAGATGATGTCAGAAGCAGGATGCAAAGTGGAGGTTCTAGCGACCCTCAGGAGCACTGAGTGAACATGCAAGGAACCTGTAGGACCCACTTGTGTCCATTGATCTCTCAGAGCAGCTGGGGATTGTGGGTAAGCCGTCTTTCAGATTTTAGAACTCCACGGCTCTCTGTGTTTCTTTGAGCAAATTTCTGATCCAAACTGGGTTTGGCATCATGGAATGGGTCCAGGAATGGATTTGATCCAGGAATGAACTGGCTTGGATCCAGTTAGAGGTCGTTTACATTTGGCTGGGTCAGAAAGGAAATGGTAGTAACCAGTAATATTACAGGGGATATAAAATTTCATTTTTGAAAATTAACAGCAATTTTTGTGTTCTACCCTTTGCTTAAATTTTTCTTGCATACTCAAATAGGAAAAAACCCAATCATTGGCGAAGTTAATCCAGAGAACCTGAAAGTAAAGCCAATAATTAGGTAAAAATGGGATCCTTAACTTCTGGAAAACTGATTTACTTCTGGCTTATAATTTAGGCCTGAGAGGCAGTAAAATCTTATGGCAAAATCTTACTAAAGATATCTTACTGGGGAATGTTCCAAATGAACAACCATGCAGTAACGTCAATTTGAAAGTGAGGCCTCTCAGTAAAGTCCCTTTGGTTAAGAATGGATTTGGCACTACGGGATGTCAACTGCTATTCTCTTTGGAATAATCTGTCTTGCACTCTTTGCTAATGACTATGGGTGACAGGATTAGGGATTTACAGGATCGTGGGACATGGGGAGCTTATTCTTTCCTAAAAGGGGAAGGTTGAGAGGTGATCAGACTGCTGGAAAAGAGCTCTTAGCTACCAAGAAGCAATCACCTGAAGTTCTAAGAGTTTCCTCAATGGGTGAGTTTTTCTCCGGCCTCCCTGATCGTTTGACCTTCCCCAACCTGCCACAGACAATGCTTTCCCCCTTCTCTTTTCCCCTTCTTATCTTTTCTCTTTCAAAGATCGACCATCTTGCCCAGAGACCCAGTGTGGAAACTCCTAGTCAGAGGCTGGATTAATTTAAGGCTTGCCAATTTGATATTGGGCGCTAAGCAGAGTGGTTAATGTCTGTTTCATCACATGTATTCTGCTCCGGCCAGACTGAAGAAAAGATAATTTTCCTTTATGATGCCTCTTGGCCCCAGCATGATGGTGTGGCAAACTGAGTCGCTAAGGCTGCTCAAGGAAAGGGAACCCAGAAGCTTGGCATCCTGGCAAAAGGGTAAGAATTTCTTACCAGTCAGGTTTCTGGCTTCTCTGTGTGTCTGTGTGCAAACAGGTGAATGAACGGTAAATATCCCTGTTTATCTCTTCTGTAAAGTTTTGATTAATGTAAAAAACAATTCTGAGACTAGTCTTAAACTGACATATTTGTGCTATAAATTTTTTTCTGTGTCAAGGGGTACCTGAGGATAAAATATGGGCTTAGGACCCCATAAGCTGGCTGCTCAAGATGTCCCAGCAAGCTATCAATAACAAACTATCCTGCAGGTCCTGAAACAAACGAAAACACTGGATGGGTTTCTTATCTTGATTTATGTCCTTGGGAGCTTGACCTTGAAACCGTATGTCAGTACTTTCTCTTGGTCTGTGCCTTCCAGGAAGAGGAATTTTAGGATTTATTTCATAGTTAGCTCTAAAATCTACCTTGAGTAGTTAAAAGCCTTTGCAAGCTCAAAATTAACTACTATAGATTTTTTTCTGGGAAGGGCAGTGGAGACTGCCCTGTATTTTATCTGAGTAGCTAAGGTTTTGCCTTTTCACACTGGCAGACTGGGTTTGATTCCCTGCTTAGGAAGTAAGTCCTTTTTGGTTTAATATCTGCATGACCTTGTCTAGTCTATTCTTCTTCACGGATTACCTTAAATTTTCCTTTCTCTGAGCACCTGGAAGTTTACCTTTGGTAAAGTTCAGAAGCCAGAAATTTGAAAAGGTCATTTGACCTTTTAAACAAAATTTTAAAAGGACTTTATTAAATAATGCTATGGTTAAAAGTTACCTTAATTAGAAGTGGATATTCAAGCTCTAATGTCTGGACTTTTTCGGAAAATGATGAGGCACCAGAAGCCCATTTCCTGGCCTTGTTCTTCCAAGAACTCCACTGTAAAGCCAATAACCAATTAATAAGCGTAAAAACTGGTAAACGAAAAATTCTACAGCTACTTTAGTAATCTTCTGCTGTCTGTGTAATTACATATGTGTTGTGTATAATGTTTATATAAAAGAGTTCTAACTAATTAGCTTAAACAAAAATAGGTGCTTAAATAAAGTATTGTGAAAGCAAAATAAGAACTGTAATGCCATTACTTTATTGATCTTTGTGAAATAAAGTCGGCTTTTAAGATTGTTGATAGAAAATATACGATAGACTGGATAGGGAAAATGTGGCACATATACACCATGGAATATTATGCAGCCATCAAAAACGATGAGCTTGGGTCCTTTGTAGGGACATGGATGAACCTGGAAACCATCATTCTCAGCAAAATGACAGAAGAGCAGAAGATCAAACACCGCATGTTCTCACTCATAGGCGGTTGTTGAACAATGAGAACACATGGACACAGGGAGGGGAGCACTACACACTGGGGTCAGTTGGGGGGAAATAGGGGAGGGACGGTGGGGGATGGGAAGCTGGGGAGAGATAGCAAGGGGAGAAATGCCAGATGTAGGTGATGGGGAGGAAGGCAGCAAATCACACTGCCACGTGTGTTCCTATGCAACAATTTTGCATGTTCTTCACATGTACCCCAAAACCTAAAATGCAATAAAATCAATAAATGGGAAAAAAAACAACAACAAACAAACAAACAAACAAAAAAAAGAAAATATATTTTGTCTAAATTATGCAGGTCAGATATTAGGTATTCTAAGTGCTTTAAGGTCATGAACTGTTTTGATTTTTGAAAACTGTTCAACTGGCCAGGTGTGGTGGCTCACACCCATAATTCCAACATTTTGGGAGGCTGAGGAGGGAGGATAGCCTGGTGTCAGGAGTTCAAAACCAGCCTGGCCAACGTGGTGAAGCCCTGTCTCTACTAAAAATTAAAAAAATATATATATAGACATGGTGGTGGGAACGTTTAATCCCAGTTACTTGGGAGGCTGAAGCAGAAGAATAACTTGAACTTGGGAGGCAGAGATTACAGTGAGCTGAGATTGTGCCATTGCACTCCAACCTGGGTGACAAGAGCAGAAAGAAAGACAGAAAAGAAAAGAAAAAAAAATTGTTCAATTTATTTTGGAGGCATTAAATTATTTTATTTTTATTTATTTATTTTTTTCAAACAACCAGACACACGAAAGTTTTTAGTTTATTAAGCTTCTCGTGAAAAATCCACAACGGCCATAGATAACATCATTGCACCTTTACTCCTTTGGCTGTGATCCAATCTCCAGCTCACTTTTTGCCAGCGCCAACACTGGCCTTTGCAGTCCCCCTGACTTTCTTAATTCTGTTCTTGCGTTCCTTTCGTTGCTTTCTTGAGGTCTTTTTCTTCTCATACAGGTCATGTCTTGCAAGTCTATGTTTGGGTTCATTTTTCTTTGCATAATCCAGGGAATCATAAATCATGCCAAAGCCAGTTGTCTTGCCACCACCAAAATGAGTTCTGAATCCAAATACAAAGATGACATCCGGTGTGGTCTTGTACATTTTGGCTAGTTTTTTCCGAATTTCTGTTTTAGGCACTGTTGCCTTCCCGAGGTGAAGGACATTAATGACCATTTGTTTCCTCTGAAGCAGTTGGTTGGTCATGAACTTTCTAGTGTGGGTAGTTACTGTGTTGTTCATGATGGCGCCCTATCCTTACACAGGCGGGGAGGAAAAAACGGCATTAAATTCTTAATAAGCCTTAAAGATTATATGGAGTTTGCCATGCCCCCTACCTATGGAATTAAGGTTATAAAGTGGAAGAGATTTTATATAATAAAGGATGTTGTAATATAAATTCTTGTCCTAAATTAAAATGACTGGTTGTTTAAAAAGAGGGAGGTTTAGGGCAAGTCAGAGAGTCTGAACACATCATACATGGTCTGTGTATATCATGAAAGAATGTATGAAAATAAATTTACACCAGAATGTACAATTTAAATGTGATTAGGCCTCTTGAGTGTTTTTTAAAATGTCTCTATGACTTTTAACTGCACAGCTTGCCTGCTTTACAGCTAGGTAAGGCCCAGGGCACGTGGAGTTAGATTCTAGAAAGGGTCAGATCTTATTTGCATTTATGTTTGGGTCCCAGACTCCACACCTAGTACATAATTAAAATCCTTTACTGACCAAAGTTTTCACCAAAAGTAAAAATCACTAAGAGTTAATATTGTAATATGTAATTGAGACTACTGAAAAAATATGTTTACATACAAGATGTGTAAGGAGAATAAAATGTGTCTTTGTAAGAGATTATAAGAAGGTATGGGAATGAAAATATTTGCCTAGGTTAGAAGGTTAAATGATTGTTTTACATTAAATAAAGCTAAAGGTTTGAACAAGTTGTAGAAGGTTTATAAAAATTAATTGTAAAAGATTCAATATGTGAGCATATTGGCAAAAGTTTAGATGACATTATTCAGAGTTTTTTTTTTTCATAGCTGAGACATGGCATGAAAAGCACAAAGAAGTTTTCTGACAACATTTTTTTGTGCTCTGAGAAAAAAATTGTAAAGGGCTAAAAAAGGATTTATAAAAATCTTAGCTTACGGTCAAATTAATTAAAACCGAATAGATTTATAAAATCAAGAAACTAGCTTTAACATTAAAAATTCACTAATGGAAACATAAAATTTGGTTTTCTCTTTTAAAAATATGTAACATTAAAAAATTATGAAAGTTTTTCATTTACCTTTTAAGTAAACTACAATAGGAAAGGGGGAAGGGAAAGAAAGGAGACAGAGTCAGTTGACCTCATGTGCTCGTCATTTTTCTTGTTTGGAAAGTTGAGTCTCCTCTCTATCAGAATAATCTTTTCTCCTTTTCACAATTTTTGAGTTATCATTTTGGCTAACTGAATGGCTTATAGTAACCTAAGATTCTATTTTGTAATATCCAATGTTTTAATCCTTTGGTTTAAAACCATGGTTCACTGAGGACAACCGCTTCATAATCTAGAACCCAAAGATTGGATCTTTTTAGAACATCAGAGAAAGACTGTCCTTGCTGTCCACACTACTGCAAAACTTTGGAGCCTTGAAGCTTGGTTTCATAATCTCACAACTGAGAAGGGTCCCTCCATACTGCCGAACTGACCAACCATTGGAACCCTTAAGATAAAACTAACCAGCAAAGTCTCTCCCCAGATGAACACGGAATCCTTAATGTAAACAGTTTTTCTCAAGATCCTGGATCAAAACGTCTACTATCACAAGACTCTTATATTTGAATATTGTTTCTTGTTTATGTCCCATGAACAACAGAAATGAAAAGGGGATCTATTGTGTGCACTTATAAGGTACACTTTTATTTGTGAAGGATTTTGCATCCAGCCTTATACATGAATAACCCTGTACTTTAATAGATAAAACATGAAGCCCCAGTGTAGGTGAGAAACTTTCGAGGTAAGATGTTGCCTTATAATCAGTCAAAACTCCTCGTAACCAAATCATGGATTAAAGAGAACATTGCCAGGAGGCCTTCACTCTTCTAAAAAGACATCTCATTTGTTAGGTTCTTTTTCCATGGTTTAGTGTCAAGGCAGCAATAATTAGAAATGTCACCCTCAAAATACAGTCTACAGCAAATTCTTCTTTAAAGGCTATTGTTGCACATCATACTTTAAATTATCTTGTAAAAGTTATACTAAATAATATAACTGGCTAAACAGAAAAATACTTGTGAAGTTGCTGACATTTGTGGCCTATGGAGAAATATATTAAATGTATTATACAATTTCAGTTATAGGGGATTAATGAAAAGACCACTTATTCAAGAACGTAAGCTCTTCATCTAGCTCATTTCTTAATCTATTTAATTTTACATGGTTTGGTTCCTGGGGACCCTGGGTCAGAAGCATACTCCAAACTTGGTATTATTCTCCCGATAGTCATAATGATAGTCTCCCTGGTGTGCTGTATTCTCTCAAAGTTATTAAATTTTTGCATACAGCCATCTGTAGAACATCAAATGGTCTCTCTTCAACTGGAATGACAAAAGCTGAAAGAAATCTTCTACCCTGAAGACAAAGAAATGTGCCACCCTGAAGACACCGTAACCTATGAATGATGTGCTGAGACTGGAAATTCAAAATGATGGTAAGTCAGACGGGCCCTAAGGCCTTAAGTTTTGGTCACACCCTTACCTAAGTGAGAACCTGGCTGAAAAGGGGGAATTTTTAAAAAACAAAATTAGGGGAAGTCATTATTTGTCTGAGTTCAGGCACTAGGCCCCAGCAAACCAAATCAAGCTAAAATGAAGCCACTCCTGCTAAACGTTACATAATCGAACTAAGTCTTTAAGAAAACACATAGATACTAGAACAGATCAGGTTTTGTTTTTCTCCTGTAAACAGGATGTCTAACATAAAGAGGTACCCTCTACTCAGTCCTTATTCTCTGCTTGCAAAACCTGCTTTTCTACTGTTTCCCAGTAGGTTTCAAAACAATATAAGTACATTTATGATAGTGATAGTAACCTCAGTGACTAGGATTTTGGTCAATCACTCAAAATTGAGAAAATGACCAAAAAGGGGAAACAACTGTTAAAGCAAACTAAGCATGGCCTGAAGATTCCATATTTTATATTTGAGTCCTTGTGGATGAACAGTTACCTAGTTTAATAGTCAGGCAAAATGGAAACTCAACTAAATAGTATGCACCTATAACAGTGGCTGCGTGTTGGCCAATCCGAGTGGCCACACTTCAACCACTCTTAGATTGCTGTAGGTTCAAACTGTGTTCAAATAAGGCAAGCTCCAAGCTGTAACCATGCTCATTGCTTCTGTTCCTCACTCCTGATTCCTGTATGTCACTTTACCTTTTTGTCTATAAATTTGTTCTGACCATGAGACACCCCTGGTCTCTGTGAATCTGCTGTGTGATTCTGGGGGTGCCTGATTAGGGAATCATTCATTTCTTCATTAAACTATTTTAAATTTAACTCAGCTGAAGTTTGTCTTTTGTCAGGTTGAATTTTATATATCTACTTCAGACTTTAATTTCTTCCATATTACAAAGGCTGGTAACATGTTTTTTAAATAAGTGAAAATGTATTGGACAAAAGTCTTCTGTTGCTTTTTTCTCAAAGTACGTGAAGTGATGCTACTTTATCCACCTTTCTCATAGTTTCTCTGTCATAATCTCACACTGGAGGTACAGTATTCTTCTTCATACCTTGAGTCCTTTCTCTTGTAATATGAAAGGCATGTAGCCACTTTCTTTTTCTAATTCTTTTATAAATCTAAACATTCTCACTACCTATTGGGTACTATGCTCACCCACTGGGTGAGGGCATCATTTTTATACCAAATCTCAACAATACACTATTTACCCATGTAAAAAACCTATACATGTACCTTCTGAACCCAAAATAAAAGTTGAAAAAATAAAATTAAATACATAATACCTCCCCAGGATATTGCTTATGGGAACAAGTCTAAGTTCCTTAATACAGAGTAAAATGGTAATAAAATTCTTGCCCTGATTTTCTTTCTTAAGGCTATGTCATTTCAACACTTCCCATCACCATTCTTCCCCAATTTCTTCTACATTTTTGGAGGCTAAAATCCTTAATACATTAAATTTTGGTTCAATGTTTGTTATATGCCTAAAATAATACTTAGCTGAGATGATGCAAATATGAATAAGGTATGTATTCTTATATATATATACTCAAATATATATACTTGTATATATATTTGACTCATTCTCTTTCATAATTTCATTTCTGTTCCTTTCAGAATAGTGAAATGATTCTAATTTTTAATGATCTGTCTTTTCTTGGAAATTTTCTATTTCCAAATGTCAAAATTTTTTGTCTCTCCATTCCCATAATACTTATCCATGTCATTACATAGCACAAATAGTTATGAGATGTACCATTGTTAGTTACACACATTTCTTGTTTTCCTAACAATGTCCTTGTCCTTAAGATCAGAGATTATATTTTACTCGTTTGTATTCCAATCAGAAAAAAACTGTGACTTGTGTGTAATAAATATTCAATAATTGTTTTGATGCAATATGTATTAAAATATTATAAGTATCTAAGTTGGTGATTCATTTTAATTAATCTCTTCTGCTGCTCCCCACCCCAAAAAGTGATATATAAAAGTGCATTCAAATGTGTGTATATTTATGTAGATCAACAGAAGCATCTCTGGACACAAATAAAAAATTTAGGACACGATTATCTTAGAAACACTTTAACTTCAAAGCTTATTATTTATTTATTTATTTATTCATTTTATTGCAATAGCTTTGGGGGAATAGGTGGATTTTTGTCACACAGGTAAGTTCCCTAGTAGTAATTCCTGAGATTTTGGTGTGCCCATCACCATATCAGTGTATACCATACTCAATCTGTAGTCTTGTTCCTCACCCCTCTCTCCACATTTCCCTTGAGTCCCCAAAGTCCCTTATATCATTCTTATGCCTTTGCATCCTCATAGCTTAGATACCACTTATAAATGAAAACATACAACATTTGGTTTTCCATTCCTGAGTTACTTCACTTAAAATAATGGTTGCCATCTCCATCCTGGTTGCTGAAAATGACATAATTTTATTCATTTCTATGGCTGAGTAGTATTCCATGGTGTATATATATCGCCGTTTCTTTACTTTCTTGTTGGTCAATGGATATTTAGGCTGGTTTCCTATTTCACAATTGTGAATTTTACTACTGTACACATGCATGTGCAAGTGTCTTTTTCATATAACGACTTATTTTCCTCTAAGTAGAGACCCAGTAGTGTGATTGCTGGATCAGAAGGTAGTTCTGCTTCTAGTTATTTATGAAATTTCCATACTGTTTTCCATACGGGTTGTACTAGTTTACATTCCCATAAGCAGTATAAAATTATTCCCTTTTCACCATAATCATGCCAATATTTATTATTTTTTGATTTTTTAAATTATGGTCGTTCTTGCATCTTGTTGTAGTTTTAATTTACGTTTCATTGCAAATGAAATATCATTGTAATTTTTATTTGCATTTCCCTGGTAATTAGTGATGTCGAGCATATTTTGATGTTTGATGGTCATTTGTATAACTTCTTTTGAGAATTGTCTATTCATGTCCTTTGCCCACTTTTTATTTCAATTTAATATTAATCCTATTATCTATAACATGCTAAGTGTGTGTGTATATATATATATTCTTTTTAGAGACAGATCTCACTTTCTTGCCCAGGCTGGAGTGCAGTGGCACAGTCAGTTCACTGGAGGCTTGAATTACTGGGCTCAAGCAATTCTCCCACATAAGTCTTCTGAGTAATTGGGACTACAGGCACTCACCATCATGCCCAGCTAATTTTGAAGAGATAGGGTCTTGCTATGTTCCCCAGGCTGTCACTGAACTCCTGGATTTGAGAGAGCCTCTCACTTCAGCCTCCTAAAACAGTAAAATTACTGTTGTTAACCATCTCACCCAGCATATAAAAATATTTTCACATCAAATGTATAGAAGACATACCCACAATTATTATTTTTTGAGGTTTCAATATTTTATTCAAGTTTCTTTTAAGCGATGTTAATTACAGCATTTGAAGCGGAAGATCTAATTCCACACAAAATGGAAGACTCTAAAATGTACCCATTAAACTGCTAAAAAAACAAATTGAGTGGTGAGAATACAACAGAAGTCAAATTTAGATTCTGAGTGTTGTCACCATGTGATTACAATCACACAGACTCTTCCGAGCTTATAGCTGGAGCTCCTGGAAGCTATTTCATACTCTGGTGCAAGGGCAAAAAAATACAACACAAGTAGGAATAAGTCCTGAATTATTGGCTTCATCACATCCACCCCGTCCGCCCTAAAATGGCACAAAAGAAACAGTGACCACACTCTGCAGACCTTTTGGTGCAAAAGAGGTGAACTGGGGTGGGAACAGGTCATGAAGATCTACCTTAAAAAGTCCCATTCAGGTGAGTTTGTATACACCATCAATCAGCTAGCCTCTCATCAATTGGGGTTGGGAAACCAAGGTCCGATTCTCAGGAAATCACAATTTCATTCATTTACTCAATATGAATTTACGAAGTGCCTACATATTATCAGCTTCCACTTGCAGGTTCCGCTCTGCTCCCTGCCTCTGTGCCGCAGCCCCCGCAGTACCCACAATTATTTAAAAACCATAAAAATATAATTATGTATATAAACAAAACTTCTTAGTGAAAACTTAAATTTGATCTTAACTGTAACTATTATACTTGTAGTCTATTATAATGTAAGCCATATTTTTTTTCACCAAGATCCAAACTGCTGAAAAGTAAGCATCTAGGATAACTTTTCCTTGAGAAATAAATTTTCTGCTGTTGATTTTACCAAAATTGAATCTTATGGTGTCCTTTGAGAAATACATAGAATTTAAGAATATTAGTTGGCATTTGTGTGAGTGAGGCATAATATGTGAATACTCATGGTATTTTAGGGGATTTTGAATATCTTGGCTACTATACTCTATGCCCAAGTGATCATTCTTAAAAAAAGAGTCTTTACAATGTATTAATACATAGAATATGAATATAGTTTCTTGCTCCCAAAGACCCAATAGCATATATTTTGTATAAACAATTTTAAACTAGTTGTATGCTTAAATGGTCTTTTTTAGAAAATGTAACCAACTTAGACACATAAGTGGCAAGAATACACACTGTTTGACATTTCCTTGATGCTACATGAAAGGAAAAGTAAAGTTGTACTTTGAAGGATATTGGCCTGTGGCATAAACAACGGAAAAGAAAACAGTAAAAATAGCCCTTTATTTAGGTTTATGTCCATTTATTATGTGAAAATAAGAGGGACAAGCTAAATCAAAATTATTCAACAATGTGCAGTTAATATAGTATCTAGCAAGAGGAAAACTGAACACAAAATAATAAACTAATCCATTTAGCTCATTAGAAACGGATACAGATTTTCATGCTGAAGGAGAAATATGCAAAATTTAAGAAATAAGCACTGTAGATTGGTTATAAAGCCTATTTGACTGTGAAACACTAATGTTTACCTTGTTATTCAGCACAGGCAAACAATATACAGACCCACAAGGATAGAAAGTGGAGAAAAAAAATAGAAAGTTACTCATTTTCAGCATGTACAGCAAGGAAATCTCCAGAAGAAATATGGCATTGAACTAGAAATTGCATCAAAATCTCACACTCCTGGTTTTTCTCCTCCTGCTTCTCATTTTCTTGCACTAGATCTTTCTGCTTTTCCCAGACACCACAATATTGAATTGTGAATTGCTCAGGGTACACTGTCAATGTTCATTTTTTAAAACTCAGTCCCTGAGTGATGGCATCCGTGTCCGCATTTTATATACCACCTCTAATATTAAGACCACAACATTTTCATCTCTAGCCAAATTTCTCTACTAGATTTTACACGTATATATAGAACTATATTTGAAACATTTAACTTGAATTATTTCCTTAAGGAAATCCCAAATCAAATCTGTCCAGAACAGAAATAATTTTAGTCCTCTCACCCCATAACTTCACCTCTCCCATATCTGTGAGACCACCATTGCTTTAATCCATTGCTTCAGTCATTCCATGGCTTCAATCAGTTGCTCCCCTCTGACTCCAGAGTTTTTCAGATTTTTAAAAAAAAGATTTTTGTTTCCTGGAGCACTTTTAGGTTCACAGCAAAATTGAGAGGAACATACAGCAGTTTCCCATATGCTCCCTGCCACGCAAATGCTTGGCCTCCCCATTATTAACATCCCCAACAACAGTGATACTTTCATCATGATTGATGAACCTACATCAACACATCCTTATCACCCAAAGGCCATTGTTTATGTTAGTGTTCACTCTTGGTATTGAACACTGTGAGTTTGGACAACTATATAATGACATATGTCTATCATTACAGTACCATCCAGATTATTTTCACTACTCTAAAAGCTGTCTGTGACTGTCGCAACAGGTTTTCTGTCTTTTCCTAAATGTCGTAAAGTTGAAACCATACAATGTATAGCATTTTCATACTGGCTTCTTCACTTAGTAAAGTTAAATTAAGTTTCCTTCATGTCTTTTAATGGCTTGATAGCTAACTACTTTTTTGCATTGAATAATAATATATTTTTGGAAGTAGCACAATTTATTCAACCATTTACCTATTGAAGGATATTTTGGTTCTTTTCAAGTTTTGGCAATTATGAATAAAGCTGATATAAACATACATGAACAGGTTTTGTTGTAAACATAAGTTTTTAACCTCTTTTGGTAAATAGATATCAAGGAGTGAGACTGATAGTATGGTGAGAGCATATATAGTTTTGTAAGAAAATTACAAACTATTTCCCAAAATCTCTGTATGATTTTGTATTC